TATGCCCCATCTCCTTGCTCCCATTTTCCTCCAAACTCCATGAATGTCTGGTCTACAAACAACTGAGTGATCACCCCACTGAGAATTACATTCTTGATACCCTTCAGTCTGGATTTCATTCTCAACACTACACAGAACCTGCTCTCCTGAAACTGACAAATGATTTACTAACCGCTAAAACCAATGGACACTACTCTGTACGCCTACTTTTGGGCCTTTCTGCTGCCTTTGATATGGCTGACCACCCCCTCCACCTCAAAAAAACATTACTTTGATATCTGTGACTGTACTCTTTGCTGGTTCCCATCCTACCTATCCCCCCACACCTGCAATGTCACTTACAATTCTACTTCTTCCTCCTCTCCTCTTCCTTTTTCCTTCAGGGCTCCCCAAGGTTCTATTCTTGGACATTTCCTATTCTCAATCTATACCTCCTCCCTGGGTCAGCTGATAGCCTCCCATGTCTTTCAATATAATTTCTATGCTGACAACACCCAAATCTATCTTCCTACTCCTCAGCTCACAACATAAGTCTTCTTATGCATCATTAATTTACTAGCAGACATATCAGTCTGGATGTTACACCACTTCCTGAAACTTAATTTATCCAAAACCAAGCTCATTAAATTTTCTTCCCCTGACTTCTCTGAAAAGATCAGTGGCCTAACTATTAACCCATCCCCACATGTCGGGTGCTAGGTGTACGTCTGGACTCTGAACTCTCCTTTCAGCTCTAAGTCCAATCACTGTCCAAAGCTTGCTACCTCAACCTACAAAACATCTCCAAAATATGCCCCTTCCTAATCAATGACACCACAAAGCTGCTTATTCACTCCCTGGTTATATCTCTCCTCCACTACTGCAACTCCCTCCTCATTGGATTATCTTTACATTGGCTATAACCTCTTCAGTCTATCATGAACGCTGCTGCCAGACTCACCTACCTTACTAACTGTCTGCTACCATTCTCCATTGGCTTCCACGTACCCAATTAATTAAATTCAAAATAGTACTAATAAATTACAAAGCCATCTACAACTCTGCCCTCAGCTACATCACTAACCTAGTCTCAAAATACCAACCAAATCTTTCTCTTTAATCCTCTGAAGGCCTCCTCCTCTCTAGCTCCCTTGTCACCTTCTCCCATGCTAGCCTTTAGGACTTCTCCTTAGTCTCTCCCATCCTATGAAACGCCCTATCCCAATCTGCCCATCTCCTACTCTGTTTACTTTTAGGCGATCCCTGAAAACCCTTCTTCTTTTTGGAAAACACTATCCCGCCTCCACCCAACAACTGTATTTTCACTTTCTCCGTCATATCACCCCCCACAGTTATTACCTTTCGTATCACTTGACCCCCTTTAAGATTTTAAGCTCTAATGAGCAGGGCCCTCTGATTCCTCTTGTATTGTATTGTAACTGTCTGTCTTCCCTCATGTTCTAAAGTGCTGAACACACTGCTGGTACTATATGAAAATCCTGTATAATAATAATAATAATAGGCAAACTGAATGTTCATGCTGTTTATGTGAACAGGACTAATCGTCACCAGAATGATGCATTGTGGTGTATTTTGCAGATATCCTGCATGCAGGATTTGAGTGAATTTACATGCAATTTTCCATTCATGTTGTTCATTTTTCCTGAACTGCCTCAATAAGGAAAACATGGCATTGTGGCCACTATATTAGGCATAATGCAGGGATCAATTGTGATGACTATGTGAATACTTGAGACATTTGCACAACAAATTATCTATAAATAGACCTCAAGCATGATGATGGTTATATAACAGATTGCTGAAATTCTTGCAAAGTATAAGGTTCACCTGAAGGGGATTTTTGCAGCAAAGCTGAAGGTTCACAATAACTAAACTCAAAAAGTTAAGATTTGCTACTGTATAGTATAGGGAATATCTTGAAAAGTTATTTGTGCCCAAACAAGCCAATGGTGGGAGGGTACAGGTAGTATTGCTATACTGGGCCTGGGTTGCATCAGGTCAGCAGGATGGGACATAGATATGAAGGGGATAAATGGTTAATCCTCAGGAATGTCTCCAGCATGGCCTTCACCAGTCTAAGGCATCTGGGGCACTTGACATCTCTTGCCTTGTGCTCTGTGTTTCAACGGAGCTTCTGCCCGTGTCTATGTGTAGTCTGTGGTGGCCTGACAGGTTGCTTCCAGGTAGCCACATAGAGGGGTATGTGATTTTGTGTTTGTGTGTTCCGTTGGAACACAGGGCACAAGGCAAGAGATATATATATATATATATATATATATATATATATATGTATGTGTGTGTGTGTGTTGTGAATCATCAATCAGGGATGCTGACTGTTGGTCTGTATATACTTATGACCCCTGCACTGTGTGTGTTACCCACTCCTGACAACTACATTTTGTATTTTCTAGGCTAAGAGGCAAGGGACTATCAAAAAATGGCTTGGTGAACTGGACACTTCCCTGGGGAACATGTAAGCAAAAAAACAAAAACATGTAAATTACTGTTTGAAGGGGAGCAGCAATTTTATAATTAAGCATTAATTCCTTTAAATAGCATGCCTGGTAATACCCTTAACCTGACTGTGAAGTGGCACAAAGAAGTATGTAGTCTACTACAAAACTGACATTTACAAAGAAAAAAAAGAGACGCTTAAGTTGCCAGCAAATGCCACCTCCTCACCACCTTCTGCTTGTAAACAAAGTGGATGGGAATTTTCGTCTACGCTAGACCCTTATTCTAGAGGAAAGTCTGGCAAAGATATTAACCGGGGACTCCAAAAAAAAAAAAGTGGCCTTCCCCTTAAAAATACGTACCAGACCTTTATCCTTGCTTAGGATCTGGTATGACAGATCTGGTATGGCTGTTTGGTAGTTTGCTGAACCTGCACAAGCAAAATATTTGTGAGAAAAAAATGATAAAAATTTCATATGGGTACAATCTTGCATGACCGCGCAATTGTCAAAGTGCGATAGCACTGAAAGCTGAAAATTGGCCAGGTAAAGAAGGGGGTATAAGTGCCCGGTAGGCAAGTGGTTAAATTTGTGTGCACCTATGGAATGACAAAAAACTTAGTTCCCTATGCTTTCTATAGGCAATGCTTCAAAAGCCCCTATAGGTCATCAGTTTATCATTACAGAGGAGGTCTTGACCTAGAATTATTGCTATCACTCTGGCGTACAAGGTGATATATAACATGTGGATCGCAATCACCGTTTTCATGCATAGGCGTCCTGACCTGTGTTTTTACGTGCGTTCGTATGTGGGAGTGGGGGGGGGTTGGCTCAAAAAAAATTTTGGGGGGGTGTTAGGTGATTGGGTTTAACTTAATTTTGCAATAATAAAAAACAGGAACTTAGTTTTTTTTTTCATCACAGAGTCCCCTATGTATATAATATGCAGCACTATATAAATTGACAATAAATGAAATCCACTAAAATGAATATAAAATAAAGTAAGTAAAACACAGAAACAAAAAGCGCTATTGGGAATGCCAGGAATAAACGAGTGATAAACGTCCGGACATGATGTTTAAAGTGCACAAAGTGAAGTAAATGGTTCAAAGTTCAATCAATAAAACTGTAAGGTGCAAATCCGTGATTCCAGTGGTTGTAAACAAATGTATATTGCACTAACCAGAAAGCACAATGTCATGAGCATTTGAGTAATTCAGACCAACTCCTGATCATCTGGATCACAAACAGGGGACTCTGGGGGTCATCTGGTACACCTGAGCAGGACAGGTAACACAACGAATACATCTCCAGGCTCCAGGGGCAAAACATCCATCCAGCAGGGGTAACCACTCACGGAGGTACATATAGAATACCAGGGATTCACCTTAAGGAGGGCTCATAATAAATGAGCCAGAGAAGAGACTTCCAATAGTGTAGTAATTTTTATTGAGGAATGAATCAGTGACCAGCAATACTGAATATGCACTCACATCTGACAGGATCCAAAATAGTCGCCGGCCTTCGATGCGGGCTGAGTGGCGTGACGTCACCAGGTAGGGCAACTAACGCGTTTCGTGCCCAAGCACATTGTCAAAAGGGCTTAATTTTTTTTGCAATAATAAAAAAAATGTACTTAGTTTTTTTTTTTTCATCACATAGAGTCCCCTCTATGATGATTTTTAGGTGACAGGTTATCTTTGAGACATGCATGTCTCCTCTGGGCTCCATTGCATGTATTTCAATGCAGACTGCATTTCAATACATTGCTTCTCTGCTGTGCTAGCCAAGAAAAGTGACTGGGAAGTGACGTCACACACGTCGCCTTCTGGGTCACAGAAAGAAGGGGAGGACAGCGAAGGTATGGACCTGGCGGCAAAAGGGTTAAAGTCCTTTCAGTTCTAACTAGCTAAATACCTTCAAAGTGTATCCAAAAAAACAAACGGTGTAGAAAATATTACAGTTTTACTTTGGAAGGCAGCAACAGGCCAATGAGAAAGTTTGTCTTCTGTCACCATGCTGTAGAGAAGGACCCTTGCTCTCTGCAGAGAGTCCAGCGTTGATGCGCAGAGGTCTTAGTCGTCCTTGATGATTCAAATCTACAGCTTTGTATTCAGCAACATAAGTTTTGCGGATTTAGATATGACACATTAGGGGCCCATAGGTTTTAGGTCCAAGGGATTTAGATATGACACATTAGGGGCCCATAGGTTTTAGGTCCAAGGGATTTAGATATGACACATTAGGGGCCCATACGTTTTAGGTCCAAGGGATTTAGATATGACACATTAGGGGCCTATACGTTTTAGGTCCAAGGGATTTAGATATGACACATTAGGGGCCCATATGTTTTTAGGTCCAATGTACAAAATCTACAATTAAAACCTTTTGTTTTGTTGCTTAATAAGGACCTGATATTTTTCTTACAGGTATATTTTCTAATGTATAGTGGAAATGAACAAGACAATTGTAAAAGATTTTATTCTTTTGGCTTTCTCTGATTTGACTCAGTTACAGCATTTTATTATTTTTTGTGTTTTTATTCAGCTACGTTATATGTATTGTGGGTAATATCTCCATCATTTTTCTGGTTAACTCAGAGTCTTCACTTCACACTCCTATGTACTTCTTCATCAGTGTATTCTCTGCTTTAGACATTATGTTTGTAACTGTCACTGTTCCAAAATTACTATGTAATCTAGCAGTTGCAAATAATATGATTTCTTTCGGTGGGTGCATTACCCAAATGTATGTCTTTACTTCTTTGGGTGTGACTGAATGCTATCTTCTTGCTGTAATGGTCTTTGACCGACATCTAGCTATCAACAATCCTTTACGATATTTGACAATAATGAACCATGTTTTTTGTACTGTTTTAGCCATCTTTCCATGGATTATCGGATTTGGTATTATTTTAATCCCCACCATCTTCACGGCACACTTGGAATTTTGTGGTCCAAATATAATAGACCACTTTTTTTGTGACTTTGCTCCGCTTCAAAAGTTGACATGTTCAGATCCTTTTGCCAGTAGTGTGTCTACAAGTGCTTCAGCTGTATTTAATATTGTTGTACCTTTTCTTATAATCGTTGGACTGTACAGCCATATCATTAAAACAATTTCTAAGATTCGGAGTGATGAGGGCAAGCAAAAGGCTTTTTCTACTTGTACATCTCACTTAATTGTTGCTAGCCTCTTTTATGGAACAGCCATGGTTGTGTATGTCAAACCAAATGGAACAAATTATGATAAATATCTTGCATTCATGTACACAGCTTTTACTCCTATGATTAACCCTTTCATATATACTTTACGAAACAGAGATGTAAAGAAAGTCTTCAAAACTAACCTAAAGCAGCTCTATTGTAAGCAATGATGCTATTAAAAAGACTGTAAACACATCCTGATACGGTACTCTTTATGGTATTGAAGCTATTATAGAAAATATACTTTACCTTTTTACTGATTGGTTATTTCAAATACATTTTTATGACATCAATAGTATTTTAAACACAACTAGCAAACGAGTGGCTGTTCATTCAATGGTATGAATATGGAAGAGTGCAACACTGTAGTGGCGGCAAGTGTTGAGGCTGGCCTTTGTACAGTTGCAAGTGAAGTCAGGGCATGTGGAAGAGTTGGTGAGAGAATAGGGGTCAGGTACAGTGGTGAAAAAGAGGGTTTTATGCACAAAACTGCTGTGGAGGGAGGAGGATAGGGATCACCTGTGGTGGTGAGAGCCTTGGAACTGTCAGGGATCCCGGTTTTCGCCACGGCGCGTGAATCCGCGCATGCGCAAATCGCCCAGGTACATCAGCGGGCGGGCAGTAGGACCTGGTCGTCCGCGGCGCCAATTGAGAACGCGCATGCGCACTTGCGCACACGGGCACACGCCTGGCATGGTGCAGGGCGCGCTATTTAAACCGGCCAGGCAATGTCTTGTTCCTGTTCCTGTGTTCCTGTAAAGTACGTTTCCTTCTTGCCAAACTCTGCCTGTCCTGACTTATGCTGACCCTCTCCTGCTCTGACCCCCAGCTCGTCCCTGATCATTCCTCTGCCTGTAGTTACTGCTATTTGGACCCTCTGTTACTGAACCTGGCGTGTGACCTGACTACTCTTTGCCTACTGCTTGGTACCGCACCTGTCCCCACTGTTACTGACCCGGCTAGAAAATTTCTGGGAGCCGGCCCAAAATGTGCACGCCCCAAGACTTGTGCAGGAATTTTTTCAAAACCAGCCGTCAAGAAGGGGTCGGTTGGGCATCCGGTGGCTGCCCGTAGGGGGGGGCCATGTCAGGGATCCTGGTCTTCGCCGCGGCGCGTCAATCCGCACATGCGCGGATCGCCCAGGTACATCAGCGGGCGGGCAGTAGGACCTGGTCGTCCGTGGCAGCAATTGCGGCTCGTCCCTGACCATTCCTCTGCCTGTAGTTACTGCTATTTGGACCCTCTGTTACTGAACCCGGCGTGTGACCTGACTACTCTTTGTCTACTGTTTGGTACCGTACCTGTCCCCACTGTTACCGACCCGGCTAGTCTGACCACGCTCACTCCTAGCGGTCATCCATCCATCCCGCTCGGACCTGGACCCGTCAGCCCCTTCACAGCAGGCTCATCCCGGGCACATACCCTCAGTGGGACCCCTCTACCATAGCTGGGTGCGCCCAGGGGCGCGACCTGGTTCCAATCTTGCACCAAGTCCATCCCCACCATCAGGGGCTCTGGTGAAAAGGCAGACTGGGACTTAGACTCCGCGTCCTGGGGAATCCCGTGCTGTGGACCACTAGAGATCCCGTTGGGCGGGGCCTGACAGGAACAGTTGGCATGAAAGAACAATAACATGGATGTTTCAGGAATAATGATAAGAAGGGGGTGCAGGCCCAGTGACCAGGCTGGTGTGGTGGTAACATACATTTGGTATGTTGTGCCTCTTTGAGGGGCTGTCAGATGTAATTTTAACTCCAGATGCAGTATTTATGACCAGCAGCAAAGCTCGGGCAGGGGGTTACTAGCATGAGTTGTTATGCCAAAGATTACATGCCTGTGTAAGCCATAATAAAAACTGTAGGATAGGGATGTGGTGTGAGCCGCCAGGGGCCAGAAACGAGAATGCAATGTCCCATAAAATATTTACACAGGATGTGAACACTTCTAGTTTATGTGCACTATTTCCTCCAAATGCTTGATATCACCTCCATGCAGTCAACATCCTCTCCCAGGTCCACCTTCTTGGCATCCATCCATGCCATGAATTGCTTCTGAAAGCATTATGAAAGGAACCAAAGAGCCATATCCATAATGTGGTAACTTTTAGAATAAAGGTGATAAATGTAAAAAATATGCTTACATAAATGTAAGCACTTTACTACCACACTATTAGCCAATGACGGCTACAGCACGATAGTCCAGTTCTGGGAGGGTGACGTATGACCTAATTTTTTTCTCCTCTCCTCTCCTCTCTGGCAGCGCTAGCGTCACATTATCTCAGTGATGGAGAAAACCTGAGGGAGAAGAGAAACACTGGCATACTACTCAGTACCAGTGTGCAAAGGTTTATTTGCTTTGGAAGAATAAATCACCTCTGATGTTGGATGTCCTACATGTGTGGATGTTACTGTGTTATATAAAGCTATTAGAATAGTTTTTAATATTTTAGAATGGGGTGCCCTTTTAACATTATGGACAGTCTTGAGGTACCCCATTTTAGAATGGGGTGCCTCAAGACTGTCCATAATTTGAAAGAGAGCCTTGACTAAAAAAGGTTGAGAAACACTGACCTAGAGCAAAGCCACTTAGACCCTATTCTTTAAGTGATCTGCCAAAGCCAGTCCTCTAAGTACTTGGTGGGGTGCTCTACCATAGGAAAGAAACCCCCAGTTTGAGAGGGGAAAAAAAGACCCAAAGGGCACAAATCCTTCCCCCAACATCAGGGCAGACCCCCAATAATCTGCAAAGCCATTCTGTGTACATAAAAAAAGATGGTTGTAATGGCAGACAAGGCATCAAAGAGGAGCATGGACCTTTCATCACTGGTGGACGCACATTTCTTGCACATTATGAAATGAGCTCCAGGGACTCAACAAATTTTGGTTCTGGTACAAAACATCAAACATGAAGAAAATGAAATATGAAAGAATGTGTAGGTCTTATTAACAGATACTTACACTATACTATGCACTGGCCTTACATGGTTGGTTTGTTTTCCTTTGGCCAGTGGGCATTTGACTGATGGCAGGAATCATTCATCCTGATTGAAGTGGATCTGCAACTCTGGAAGATGTGATTGTTGAAGGATTTACATTGTGGGGGAATTTTTTAAATAAAGGATTTGCCAAAACAGTATCAGTATGTTTATTTACTTTGAAGTATTTTATGTATGTTAGTGGGTCACTATGTACCCCTTACTCATTCACATGGGGGAGGGGCTAATTTTTCAAAGAAATTTCATATTCTATTAAGCCCCCACGTGCATACCCTCACAACCACAGGGCTTTCCCCCATGTTGAGGGCATGTGGTTTGATATGGTTCTAGCACTTGTTTCCCCCTTTCCTGGTCTGCCAGGCTTCATGTTTGGAAAAAGGGACTGGCGATGATTTTGGGGGAGACCCCCACACTATTTTTTCTTGCTTTTTACCCATGGTGTTCCCCTTAAACTCCATGAAAAAACCCTAGGGGCCTGGTATAACATTTGGAAGGAAGCCCATCCTTTTTTTTTTTTTTTTTTTTAAATGTGGGACCACCCTTACCATTCATAATAATAGACCTGCATGAAACACAAGGGTCTGATATGTATTTATAGGGGGAACTCATTGCATTATCTATCCCAGACCCTTATTTAGCATAAGGATCTGGTATAGATAAAAAGGAATCCCCAACAGAATGTTTACATACAGAATGTGCTGTCATTTACTCTAATTTTAAAAGGCATTTTTTGTTTGAAAATATCAGTTTTCTGTAGTAGGTTTTATACATGGTACAGGAATAGTTTTTCTGAAAGATGGTATAAGTAGAGGGGTAAGGACAATGTAACAGTGATATAACTGCAATCAGCAACCGCCCAGCCCCACCCCCCCCCAATACTCACCCAACCAGCAGGGGGTAGGGTCCAGAAGCACTGAAAGACTCCAGAAAAGGAGGATCAGGGCTGCTCTGTGTAAAAACCATTACACAGAGCAGGTAAGTATAGCATCTTTGTTAAAAAAATACAATGGTTTGCATCACTTATAAAATATAAGTGAAAGTAAAATAAAAAAACAACACCTGTGACAACTGTATAACACATAAAGGAATGAACAGTCCAAATAATATCAAAATATTCAAGGACAGTCTTCTCCTCTGTGACTTTTCTTCATATAGTAACTTAAATTGTGTTTGACCTCCACCTTGAATTAACTGCACACTCACCAGATCCAATTGCTGTCCAAATGAATAGAACAGCAAATAACGCCTTGGAGCATCCAAGAAAAGATGCTCCAGGCGAACCAGTATTTCTTCAAAACGCTCTTAGCCATTGAAACCACAGAAGACTATCAACAATAGAAAAAGGTCTTATAGTGTAGTAGTTTTATTAACAATTCACAGCCATAAACATAATGGACATGTGTAGAATAACCAACCTAAAAGGAATTCACTTACATGCTTAGCCGTTAAACTACCATGAGAGTGGCATATTAAAAAACAATCTCTTTCTACAGCTGTTTTGCACAAACGCGCATTATCAAAAGCAAAAAACACACTGAGACCTGAGGTCTGAAGAAGGAGCCTATTGAGCCTATTGCATTACCGCCCCCTTCACCTCCTACATACGACTCTGCTCTCCAAGATTCATTTTGATGCACAGGCACATCCTGGACTCTACTTCCTGATCCTATAGACAGAGTTTGCTGCTGGACGGCTGGATGTCCCACCTGGATCTAATTACATCACACGATGAGTCTTTTTAACTATTTATCTTGTAAATGCAATTTATCTATTGTTTATTAATAAATTGTCTATACTGCACTTAAGAGGCGCGCCTTCCTCTCTTTATTATGTTACTGCATTAGAGCCTTGCTTCCACTCTAAGAAGAGCTGCCTCAGTGTTATTGCTCCAATCCATCCCTGATATTCATCTGGCACCTTTATCCTACAGCTACAGGAGGTTGGCCTCTAACAAGCGCGCCCTATAGAATATACATTTTCTGGATCATGTACATGCACTTCATCCATCCTGCTCCTGTTTAACCATTTCCCTCCTAGCCACTATCAAATGATGGCAGAGCAGAACTTTTGTTGATCCAGGTGGGCGTCATATGACATCCTCCCAGATCGTGGCCGTGTTGTGTGGCGAGATCTATCTCCAGTACCATGTGACCTCTGTGACTGTAAAATATCGTA